TGCTCAGCTGAAGAACATAGAATAGATTAGTCATGGACTAGGTCTGTCCAAATTCACAAATTTCCTCAGCAGTCTTTAAAGTAGAATTAACAACTATATGGCAATATCATAGAGACTTTGAAACCAAATACTAGACAGGGAAGAGGGGATTCTAGATAGTTGATAAGGGCATATGTGAAACCTATATAATTAAGAGTGGGAACATAAAAGGAGGTCCCTAATTCTGTAATTGGGTGTAATCAAGACAAGTTTTGAGTCCATCCTATATTTATTTCTAGGAAACGTGCTCTCTAAATGGCCTTGAGAAACCACAGCACCAGCACTGAGTTCATCCTCCTCGGGCTGTCTGCTGACCCCAAAGTCCAGGCTCTGCTCTTTGTGCTCTTCCTGGGGATTTATCTCCTGACTGTGATGGGGAACCTGGCAATGCTGCTGGTGATCAGTGCTGATTTCCACCTCCACACACCCATGTATTTCTTTCTGAGTAATCTGTCCTTCCTAGACCTCTGCTTTTCTTCGGTCACTGTGCCCAAGATGCTGGAGAACCTCCTATCTAAAAGGAAAACCATTTCAATAGAAGGATGCCTGACTCAAGCCTTCTTTGTGTTTGACGTTGGAGGAACAGAAATTTTCCTGCTCTCTGCCATGGCCTATGACCGCTATGCAGCCATCTGCCACCCTCTGCTCTACAGCCGTATCATGAGCAACCAGCTGTGTGTGAGGCTGGTATGGGCTTCATGGAGCCTAGGTTTCCTGGATGCAGTTATCAACATCCCCCTGGCTATGAACTTGAACTTCTGTGAAGCCCATACCATCCCCCACTACAGCTGTGAGCTGCCCTCCCTCTTCCCTTTGTCCTGCTCTGATGTCTCTACCAACCTCACTATCCTGCTCTGTTCCACACTCCTGCATGGCTTTGGTACATTCTTCCTGATATTCTTCTCCTATGCACGCATTGTCTCCACCATCCTGAGCATCAGCTCCTCCTTGGGCAGAAGCAAGGCCTTCTCCACCTGCTCCTCCCACCTCACTGCAGTGAGCTTCTTCTATGGCTCAGCTTTCCTCCGTCATCTCATGCCAACGTCAGGCTCACCTCTGGAGCTGATCTTCTCCATACAGTATGGTGTGATCACTCCCCTAGTGAATCCCCTCATTTACAGCCTGAAAAACAAAGAAGTAAAGGCAGCTCTAAGAAGAACCTTGGGAAAGTGTTTGCAATGGCACAGGTAGCAAACTACAAAGAGATGACCAATTAGGAAACAACTACAGGCTTCAGGATATCTGCTGAATTGATACTACAATCTTCCTGATGGTTTACTGTTTTAGATGCTAAAATATACCAGAGAAGAGCTTATGAAAGAGGCACAGAGGGGCACCCAGGTGGCTCAGTCAGTTAAGCATCTACCTTCAGCTCAGGTCATGATCTCAGGGTCCTGAGATTGAGCCCCCCTTCCAGCTTTCTGCTCTGTGATGAGTCTACTTCTCCCTCCCCTCTGCCTGCTGCTTTACCTGCTTGTTCTCTCTCTCTCTCTCTCTCTCCCCCCCCTTTCTCTGTCTTTCTGTCAAATAAATAAAATCTTTAAAAAAGAGAGAAAAGAGGCACATAGGTACCTTGAGCGTGGGGTCAGGGTAGGGGAATGTGGTTCAGATTAAATCATGCTCAAAGGCAGATCATGGAATATATAGTCATGTTGATTAAAAGTTTTCATCATAATTCATTCTTCTGTTGTTTCATTGATACTGAGTAAAACAATGTGTGTGTATTGGATTATTTTTTAGGATTAAATGTACAGAAAGGCACTGAACATTGTAAGATTTCACCAAAAAGTGTTGAATGTCAGGGAAAGAAAGTTAGACTTGAGGTCTGTGAAGGCAACTGAAGAGGAAGCTTTGCAGTTAGACAAAAGTGCTAAAATTCTGGACAGCACAATTAGCAGGTCATTGATTTGGGTGATACCAAGAACTCTATTGTTCTGTTACTTGGAAGTTGGAACATGAGGGAAGATGTCGCTCATTCTAGGTAAGACAGGAAAATGTAGCCTTCTGCAACAATTCACCTCCTTCAAGCTTTTATTGTCCATTTAGTCCATTTGGGGAAGGCAAGGGTTTTGAGTCAATTGTTTTGAAGTAATTTCCTTTTCGTATATTCTAGCATGGGTTTATGAAATATGCAATATATATATATATATTTATGTCACCAAATCTGTATCTTCTGAGAAAATTTTCTTTTTTTTTTCTGAGAAAATTTTCTATACCATTTATGACTTTCCTCAAAATAGATTGTTTTAAAATGTGGTAGCTTATACTCATTCAATGTTATTTATTAACATAATTAATGAGACCCCAATAATACATGCTATTGATGAGGGACAGAAGCAGGAAAATGTTTACCCTTAGCCAGGAAAGCTGATTTACAGCCTGCATAGTTTCAATAAGTATCAGGCATGTGCTGGTTACTCCATTCTTTTAGGGTCTCACTACTGCTTATATATCTCACAGATAGTTAATATTGAACTGATGATCAGAAGAATGTCACAAAAGTAGTTGTATGAGTAGGAATTTAAACAAATTTGAAAAAACTTTTGTAACCTGATACTCCCTGCAGGCCCTCTTCCCTTTGGTTACTAAATAGATAACCACCAGCCTCACACACCAGAAGTACAATTCTTTCTGTCCATGGGTCCTGTCGCAGTGCCACTTAAATAAACTCACTAAGTTACACCATACGATGTCTCAAGAATTCCTTGACTCACGTTAGATGACCCCACATCATTTTGATTAATAGGTTAAAATACTGTAGTTTTATTTTACTTCATTTTTTCATAAACATATGTTATCATAAAGCATATCAGGTACTGAATCATGCACTAATTAATAACACAACTGCATTTCCAATTTTTTAAAAAATTTAATTTATTTATTCATGAGAGACACAGAGAGAGAGAGGCAGAGACAGAGGCTCCATGCAAGGAGCCTGACGTGGGACTCGATTCCGGGTCTCCAGGATCACACACTGGGCTGAAGGCGGCGCTAAACCGCTGAGCCACCTGGGCTGCCCCAATTTTTTAAGTTATAATAAAGAAGCAGATAGGTTAAAGAAAAGATGGTAATTATCAAAAATAATTCCATCACCCATATTTGGGTATACTTTCTTCTACTGTCCTTTGCACACGAAGATTTTAATGTAATCCATTTACCAAGTAGTCCCAACTCCATGGCAAATACACATGAAACTGATTTTTTTCTAGTTACTTAATTCAACTGGGATCTATAATCTCCATTTCCTTACATTTAAAGATATATCAGCAGATCCTTAATGTTCTGATCACTTTGTTTAATATATGTACATTCTAATATAAGACATATATCTCATTAAAGTCTCACTCCTCTCCTTCCCCAAATGCAGGTTTGAGCTGGGATCTCACAATTCTGAAGAGGCTTAATCTGGCCCATACACATCCCCTCTACCACTTCCTCAAGGTCAGTTCTCCCAATCTGGAGGACAAAAAAGGCAGAGGGAACAAAAAAAAATTCCTGTAATTTGCCCTATTGTTATTTTCTCACTGTTGATTGTCACTTATTTTCTAGTTATCAATGGCTGACCCCCCAAAAAAAATAAAAAATAAAAACGACCTCAGGACAGCCTTTATACAAACTGGCTTTGGTGGAGGCACATGGGAATTCTTTGTAAGATCCTGCTAATCCTTCTCAGTGCCTCACTTCTTGGCCTTTTAGCTAAGATCAAGTGTGATCCGCCTCTGCAAGTTCCCTGACTCAGAAGACTTGACTCCTGCTCACTCTCCTCTCTCCTGCCTATTCTCCTATACCTGCAGCACCCCACAGCTTCTTGCTGTCAAGGGAAACTCCCTAACAACCATCCTGGATGTGACAATTAGAGTCCAAAATCAGCTTTCTACCAAGATGACCAATTGACTCCCCCTGCCAAGGAAATTCATGTATCCTTGCCATGCTAAACAGTGGATAGGCTGGCTGCTGTGTATCTACACACACACACCTTTCACACCCATCCCACTCCACCCCATCTGTCAGCTTTTCCAATTCTTCTCTCTCTGGGTCATAGAGGCATAGCAGAAAGATCAGCAAGTCTACTTCTGAAACATGTATAACGGGACTGAGATCTCAGTCTATTCCGCCTTGCAGGCATTATCTGTTTTTGTGAGCATTTCTCTTAGGACCCCATTCATTTGGATTCTACAAAAGAAAAGCAATCCTTCCTTCCCTCATGAGAAAAGAAGGAAATGGCTTCTCACCAAAACACTAAACTTCTTGGAAAGGCCAATGAAATTAACACCCTCCCCAATTTGTTCCAATCCCAAACTTTGTATATAAGCAGGGAAGGAGAGGGTTTATTATAACTAGTAGTAACAACATAGGTTCTGCTATCTCTTACTAAGCCTTGAAAACGGTGTCTGATGCCATTATTGGTAGATATTACCAAATGTAGGGTATTTATGTTGTGGGAATATAAACTTTTCAGCCACTATGGAAAACATCATGGAGGTTCCTCAAAAAAAGTAAGAAGAGATCTACCATATAATCCAGCAATCCCACTCCTTGGTAGATACCCAAAGGAAATGAAAATAGGATATCAAAGAGATATATGCAATTCTGTGTATACTTTAAGATTATTCATAATAGCTAAGATATGGAAGCAATCTAAGTGCCCATCAAGAAATAAATTGATAAGGAAGATGTGGTATATGTATACAATTGAATGTTATTCAGCCGTAAGAAAGAAGGGCATCCTGCCATTTGTAACAACATAAATGAATCCTGACCACTTTGTGTTAAGTGAGATAAGTCAGACAGAGAAAGACAAATACTGTATGATATCACTTATATATGGGATCTAAAAAAGCCAAAGTCATAAAAACAGAGAATAAATGATGGTTCCTAGAAGATGGGAGCTTGGGAAATAGGACAGATGTTATTTAAAGATACAACCCTGTGGGGTACCTGGCTGGCTCAGTTGATAGAACATGTGACTCTTGATCTCAGGGTCATGAGTTCAAGCCCCAGGTTGAGTATGGAGCCTACTTAAAAAAAAAATTAAAGATACAACCTTGGGGCGCCTGAGTGTTTCAGTCGGTTAAGAGTCTACCTTCAGCTCAGGTCATGGTCCTGGGGTCCTGGGATTGAGCCCCACATCGGGCTTCCTGCTCAGCACAGAGCCTGCTTCTCCCCCTCCCTGTCCCTCTGCCCCTCCCCATTGCTGTGTTCTTTCTTTTTTTTTTTCTCTCTCCTGTCAAATGAATAAATAAAATATTTTTAAATAAATAAAGATACAACCTTGCAACAAGTAGTAAGTAAATCCTAGAGATCTCCACACAGTATAGTGAATATAATCAACAATATGGTACTATAATGTAACATGACAAAGGTGCAAATTATCACTACAATGGCAATAATATTATATAAATGTATCAAAGTAATATGTTGTACACTTTAAATTTATATAATGTTATATGTCAAATATATTTCAATTAAAAAAATAACTCCTAAAGAGCAGATTGGTGGTTGCTGGAAGCCAGAGGGTAGAGGGTAGAGGGTGGGCAAAACGGGTATAGGTGGTCAAAAGGTACAAATTTCCAGTTATAAAATAAATAAGTCTTTGGGATGTAATGTACAGCCTGGTGACTATAAGAATACTATATTGTAAGGGAGCCTGGGTGGCTCAGTGAGTTAAGCATCTTCCTTTGGCTCAGGTCATGATCCCCGTGTCCTGGGATCAGCTTGCATCAGGCTTCCTGCTCAGTAGGGAGTCTGCTTCTCTGTCTTTCTCTCCCTCTGCCCCTCCTCAGTGCTCATTCTCTCTCTGTCTCAAATAAATAGGTAAAATCTTAAAAAAAAAAAAACAGAATACTGTATTATATATTCAAAAGTTATCAAGACTAGACTTTAAAAGTTCTCAAGGAAAAACATTTTTTGTAACTATATATAGTGGGATGTTAACTACACTTATTGTGGTGATCATGTTATAATATATACGAATATTGAATCATGTTGTACACCTGAAAAAATGTTACATGTCAATTATATATCAAGTAAAAAGGGCATGTTGTTTAAATTCCAAATGTTTAAGCTAGCCACAAGAAACATGAGTCAACAACAACAAAAAAATACAATACCAGATGGCTTCACTGGTGAATTCTACCAAACATTTAAGGAACTAATGACAATTCTTTTCAAATTCTTCCCAAAAAATAGAA